GCCCGAGAGCCCTCGAGGCTTCTGCCTCGCTCCTCCTCCTCCCTCCCTCCCCTCCCTCCCTCCCCTCTCTCCCTCCCTCCCTCCCCTCTCTCCTTCCCTCGCTCTCTCCCCATCCCTCCCCCCCCCCCCTCGCCGCGTCGGCGGTGGCCAAGGCCTCGGTGTAGCCTGTTCTTCCAGGGCATAAGCTCATTCAGATCCTCGACTGGAGGTGCCGATGGGCCTCCAGGGGCGGGTGAAGGAGGAGGAGGAGCGGGAGGAGGAGGAGGAGGAGGAGGAGGAGGAGGAGGAGGAGGAGGAGCGGACAGAAGGGAAAACGGAACGGGGCGGAGCTCTTGCAACCCAAGATGAGCTGCATGGCTGCCATGGCATGGCTGACATCGAATACGCTCACGGCGCTGGACACGTGTCGCTCGCCTCCGGGAGGGGGGCACCACAGGGGACCGAGCCTGGAGGATACCTGCGGCCACGAGGGGGGGAGGGAGAAGGAGCAGAAAGCATGAGCAGCATCAGGATATAATAGATGAGGTAGCGGAAAGAGAAGGACCAGGACAGGGTGAATGTGCATGTGGAGATAGAGGAAGAGGCGGAGGGCGGAGGGCGCGTGGTTGGACTCAGACTTGGCGAGTGCATGCCATACGTGGACGAGGAATGGAGGTACTGGCCTCTCCCCAGCAGACCTTGCGACCTATGCTGGCAAGGCGCCTGTCTTGGAAGAAAGGGAGGAAGAAAAGAGATTAAAGAAGAGGAGACGCGAATACAGGAGCCAACTAACCTCTATAGGCACGCCTCTTCCATCATGTAGGAAGGCGGGCCTATCAAAAGCGTACTCTGGAAAACTCTGGTCGGGAATGCCGGAGAGTGCCGCCTGAATCAGGAGGCCAAGAGAACCCATACGAGGAAGGAGGGGGGACATGGTGGCATTGTTCTGCTCAGAAGGTGGGTCCGTGTTCCTGGCAGGCCAACATCCCAGGAGAGGGACGTTGGGCTAGAAAGGAGGGGACGCCCTAGCCGTGTGATTGCTGACTGGAGGAGAAATATTGAGGAGTACCGCTTCGAGGATGATGTCCAAGCACAAAACACTACAGCCTAGTCCTTGGCCCCGAGGTAGACAAGAGGATGCTGACGCAAATTGCGACAAATCAGTGCCAAAATCAAAGACTGGCAGGATACAGGAGCAATACGTGCATGCTGATGCAAGGTTCCAGGACCAAAGAAGTATAATGCTCTTGATCGGAAGTCAAGTAGACCACATCCTTCAAGAAACACGTTCAGATCCAAGAAAGCAGCAGGGTCCTGGTCTCCAGAGAGGCCGGAGAAGGATAATGACACAAGAGGTACCTCGACGACCACGCCTCAGGTGAAGGAGGTTGGGGTTTGGGGGGAAAGAACCAACTGCTGGCAAATGCGATGGCTGTGCTGATGACGATGCTGGTGACGCGCCCTCGAGATAACGACGACGCGTGATGACGATATTGCCCTGCGATGTAGTGTCACTATCGTCCCCGCGTTTCATCTCACAACCAATGACACAATCAACGTCATTGTCCATCTCAACTTTGCTCTCACTACTCATCCCATTCCAGCGACCTCATTATCGATCTCACTATCGATTTCAATATCACTACCAAGGCGGGAGACCCCCGGCCACCGCCCGCCCACCGCCCGCGGAACACCGGCAGGACACCAACGGGACACCAACGGGGCACCAACGGGACACCACAAGACACCACGGCGGGACGCCCCAGGCCACCGCGCGCCCACGGGGAGCGGATCGACGGTCCACTGCATCCGAATCTTCCGAGCGACGGCGGGGTCATTCCTCTCGCGCGCCCACGCAGCTTCGCCTCGCCCGCGCGCATGACACGAGCACGCAACCAAAGCCGGTTTCCTGGTGGGGGGGCTCTCCGTTCCACTGCTCACCCCCAACCTCCGATGATCCCTATACCAGCCTCTCTGCGGTTGGAAGAAACAAATCAAGCACAAGGAGCAACTGCCGCCTTCAATGTCCAACGAACCGTGAGCAGCAAGCTTCGGGAAAGACAGCTAGCCAACGCCCTGCCCGCCAAAGAAGACAAGCTGTTGTCGTAGGGGGGGCGTGTCGCCAGCCCCAGGCAGGGAGTGGCACCCCCTGTCAGAGAAGCATTAGAGTCCTCTCCGATGGCCTCCTGCCCCCTGGGGATTTGGACTCGTCGGGCTTTCTCTCTCGCTCTCTATCGTCCCCTCGGTGGCGTGCGATCCTCCTCCTCCTCCGCCTCCTCCTCATCATCATCATCATCCTCATCATCTTCATCATCATCGTCGTCATCATCATCAGCAGCATCAGCATCGTCACATCACCATCATCATCATCATCATCATCATCGTCATCATCATCGTCATAATCATCATCATCATCATCATCATCATCATCATCATCATCATCATCATCAGCATCATCATCATCCTCATCAGCATCCTCACCATCCATCCTCCTCCTCACCCTCCTCCTCCTCCTTCTCCTGGTCTCCTCGAGGAGGCGTCTCGTCCTTCTCGGTCTCCTCCCGCCGACGCAGGCGCGGGCGCCTAGCGCAGGGGATGCCTGCGGCGTCTTGATCGCCTTGCCGTCTACGCGCTGGCCCTCCGCGCGGGCGGGCGGTTAAGAGGAGGTGGGGCCAAAGAGCGCGGCAGGGAAACGGGAGGAGGATCGAGGACGAGGAATGGGAGAAGTATCGAGGCGGGGGATTGAGAAGTATCGAGGAGGGGGATCGAGGTGAGACGAGGAGGGGATCGAGGGAGGGGATCGAGGAGGGGAGCGCGCTGGCTCGCACCCATTTGTCTATTCGTCTCGCCATCGTTGTCTCGTGTCGGGTCGTGGGGGACATCCTCGGTCCTCCCCCTCCCCCTCCTCCTCCTCCTCCTCCTCCTCCTCCTCCTCATCCTCCTCCTCCTCCTCCTCCTCATCCTCATCCTCATCCTCCTCCTCCTCCTCCTCCTCCTCCTCCTCCTCCTCCTCCAACTCGTCCTCGCCCTCGTCCTCGCCCTCGTCCTCGTCCCCGTCCCAGTTCTCCTCCTCCTCCTCCTCCTCCTCCTCCTCCTCCTCCTCCCTCCTCCTCCTCCTCCTCCTCCTCCTCTTCCTCCTCCTCCTCCTCCTCCTCCGCCTCCTCCTCCTGATCATCATCAGCATCAGCACGATCAGCATCAACATCAGCATCAGCACCAGCACCATCATCAGCATCAGCATCAACATCAGCATCAACATCAGTATCAGCAGTAGTACCATAATCATCAACAGTATCCTCAGCATCAGCATCGTCAGATCGTCATCAGCATCAGCATCATCAGCAGTATCAGCATCAGCATCATCATCAGCATCATCAGCATCGTCATCATCGGCATCGTCGTCATCATCAGTATCAGTATTACCATCCACCTCAGCATCCTCACAATCGTCATCATCAGCGGCATCAGCAGCATCATCATCAGCATCACCATTCGCATGATCAGCAGCATCATCATCATCATCATCATCATCATCATCATCATCATCATCATCATCAGCAGCATCGGCATAGGCATCATCATCGTAAGCATGATCATCAGCAGCAGCAGCATCAACATCATCATCGTCAGAAACCGTCAGCATTGTCACCATATGCATCATAATCATCAGCTGCATCAGCGTCACTATCCTCATTCAGCATCGGCATCAACGTCCGCATCAGCATTAGTACCAGCATCATCAACAGCATCATCATCAGCATCAGCACCCGCATCATCACGATCAGCATCACAAGCAGCCTCAGCAGCAGCAGCAGCATCATCACCATCATCATCATCATCAGCATCATCATCATCATCATCATCATCAGCATCAATATCATCATCAGCATGATCAGCATCATCCTCATCAGCAGCAGCATCATAATCATCATCAGCAGCAGCATCAGCATCAGCATGATGAGCGTCGTCATCATCAGCATCGTCATCATTGAGCAGCGTCACCATGATCAACGTCGTTCTCATCATTAGAATCCCAAACATCAGTAGCGGCATCACCACCATCATCATCGGCATCAGCATCATCAGCAGCATCATCAGCATCATCCTCATCATCAGCATCAGCATCATCATCACATCAGCAGCAGCATGATCAACATCGTCAGCGTAATCATCGTCATACTCGTCAGCATCGCCCACGGCAATCATCATCATCATCATCATCATCATCATCAGCATCATCATCATCATCATCATCATCATCGTCGTCATCATCAGCATCATCATCATCATCCTCATCATCATCATCATCATCATCATCATCATCATCATCTTCATCAGCATCATCAGCATCATCAGCATCATCATCATCAGCATCTTCATCATCGTCATCGCCGTCATCATTCATCATCCGCACCATCGTCATCTTCATCGTCATCGAAATCGTCATCGTCATCAGCAGTAGCATAAGCATCAGCATCAGCATCAACATCGTCATCATCACCGTCATCACCATCATCAGCATCATCATCAACACCGTCATCATCATCATCCTCATCATCATCAACATCATCGTCATCATCATCAGCATGAGCACCGTCATCATCATCAGAACAATCAGCAGCATCATGATCATCCACATCCTCGTTCTACTCCTGATGATCCTCCTCATCATCATCCTCATCCTTATCCTCATCCTCATCAGCATCATCTTCATTATCATCCTCATCCTAATCCTCATCCTCATCATCAGCATCCTCATCCTCATCATCATCGTCGTCCTCATCCTCATCCGCATCCTCATCCTCATCATCATCATCATCATCATCATCATCATCATCACCAACCTCATCATCAACATCATCATCATCACCGTCATCACCATCATCAGCAGCATCATCACTCTCATCATCATCATCATCAGCATCAGCATCATCATCATCATCATCATCATCATCATCATCATCATCAGCAGCAGCAGCAGCAGCAGCATCATCCCATTTTCTGGGGGGTCGTAGCGTGCTACTGTGCTGCGCCCTCTGTATTGCTGCTCCCTCGGGAGCTCCGTATGCTCGCAAGAGGTGCAGATGGCCGTACAGCAGTGGGGTCGCTGCACGATGGGAGTGCAAGAGGAGGAGGATCGAGGTCTAGGCTTTTCGGACATGGCTGGCCCTTTGGAAGCATCTGGGCGCCTCTGGAGGCCTCTGGGGACCCTCTGGGGACCTCGGGAGGTCTCTGGAGATCTCTGGAGGCCTGGAGATCTCTGAAGGCTCCAAAGGGCGCCCTGGCCCGCTCTCGAAGCGTGAAAGAATGGCGGAGCGCATGCTTCAAGATACACGGGGGAAGGGTGCGGGAGGAGGAGGGAAGATTGGAAGGGCATGCGCAAGAGGAGGATGGCACAAAAATGCAGAGGAGGAGGCAAGACAGCCGCAGGCCCCAGGGGGATGTGTCAACGGCGGTGAGGAGGAGAAGGGAAGTGAGGAGGGCAGCCCTTCCCTCCCCATCCCCTCTACTCTCTCCCTTGCTCCCCCAACCGCCGCTCCCCTGCCCCCGCACCTTCCCCCATCCGTCCCTCCGCCGTACTCTCCACCGCGCCCCCGCCCCGTAACGCCGGAGGACGCCGCCGTGGCAGCCGCCCTGGGGGAGACGGCAGGACCCCAACGGACCACCCGTAGCGGGCGGAGAGCGCCCACGACCCCGGCTGTCAGAAGCGCCGCCCGCGGTCCTCTGCCTCCTCATCCTTCTCCTTCCGCCTCCTCTCTCTCTCTCTCTCCCTGGTTATACATATGTAAACGTATCTCTCTCTTTCTCTCTCTCTCTCTCTCTCGCTCTTTCTCTCTCTCTCTCTCTCTCTCTCTTTCTCTCTCTCTCTCTCTCTCTCTCTCTCTTTCTCAGTTTTTCCTCTCTCTCTCTCTCTCTTTCTCTCTCTGTCTCTCTCTCTCTCTCTCTTTCTCTCTATACTTGTTGTTTTCTCTCTCTCTCTCTCGCTCTCCCTCTCTCTCTCTCTCTCTCTCTCTAGCAGCGCCACGCAGCGATCCCACCCAACGGCCGCGCGCACGCCGGCATCCCACGGAGGGCCCGTCGCGCGCGGCCGCGGGACGCACCCACGCCCAGGCACGTCGCTTTCGAAGGTTCGACTAAGTGAGGGGGGGAAAAGGTACAGCAGGGGCCCGACCACAAGAATCATGTTGCTCCCACCGTACGTAAGGACCACATCCCAAAAATAATTGCGAGCACCCAGAAAAGTGCCAAAAGAGTGTCGAAACAGTGTCGAAACAGTGTCGGACGAATGTCTCCCAGGGCCCGCAACGTGGAAATCCTCGAGTTTCGGTACTTGTTTCTGGTGCTCGACATTATTTCTGGTGATCAAGGCTAGAGTAGGTTGGAACATCATAACAAAAGACACCTTCCACAAGAAACCCAACCTTGGGACCCCAGGACTTTCACTGATTCGGGTGTGGGAGCGGCACGTTTTCCATGGCAGAACCATCACAGCCCAGGAAACCCAGGGCACCCTGGAGGCAAGCAGGGTGCTTCTTGGCATGGGACCCACTGTGGGGGCCCCGCTGAACCAATCACACAGTCCTGAGGCTCCAGAGGATAGAGAAGGTTCGAGGACGGGAGGTGGAGGGCGGTCGTGCCACTCACGTCGCGCGCGGCACTCGAGACGTAGCACTTTGCACGTAGCGTACTACATGCCCGTCTCGAGGCTCCCGATGGGGCTGGCGCCTCAGACTCCCGCGAGCACCGACCCCGAGGGGCAGCACGCGCAGCGGCGGCGCGGACGCGGGGCGGCCCCCCGACTCCAAATGGGGGCTATCGACGGACGGCGTCCTTGCGATCCGCCTACTGCCCCCCTAGCGCCAGGTCGGGCCTGTCCCCCTGCAGGCGGTTTTCGGGGTGAAACTTTAAACAATACTCAAGAAAAAACAAAAGTAGTCCAACAAGGATATACAACAAATCGTCCCCAGACTAATGTCTTACGATCCTCGAAAATCCCTGAGCCCACAAGGCTGACGGCGACTCCTGCTAGAGCCAGGACTCTCGCCCGAGCGGCAGGCCCACGGGACCGCTCCTTGGTGTCCACAAGGGGGGGGGGAGGGGCTCGCGCAGTGGAAACGGCTGCCCGTGGGGATCTACGGAGGAGGAGAAGGAGCAGGAGGACGAGGCGGAGGTAGAGGCCTCCTAGATGGGGTCGGAGTAGATTGGGTCGGAGGATCGCGCTGCATCGGCGATACATCGGCGAAGCATCAGCGATGCATCGGCGATGCATCGGCGATGCACCGACGATGCATCGCCGTCGTCGGCGACGCATCGGCGACGTCGGCGTGGAGAAAATCGGGCTCCACATCGAGCCGCATCGGCGATGTATCGCCGATGCGGCGCGATCCACCGACCCCATCTACTCCGACCCCATCTAGGAGGCCTGGAGGAGGAGGAGGAGGAACGAGGGCACCGGGACTGGAGGGAGCGCTGCAGAGCGTGCGATGCAACCTGGGTGTGCTCTGGTCCTCCGCCCTCCTCACGTTTTGACGTTGACCAGCCATGAAGAACGAGCTTGTCGCGTTTCCGTTCTCCTCCTCCTCCTCCTCCTCCTCCTCCTCCTCCTTCTCCTCCTCCTCCTCCTCCTCCTCCTCCTCCTCCTCCTCCTCCTACTCCTACTGCTACTCCTACTCCTACTCCTATTCCTCCTCCTCCTCCTCCTCCTCCTCCTCCTCCTCCTTCTCCCCCTCCCCTGGAGTCAGGAGGCCTCCTCGACCTCCTGCTTAGGTGCACTCGTCATGTGTATATATATAGTCCCAACCTATATATGTATAGATGTGTATATATAAATATATACACACATATATATATATATATGTACATAGAAGATCCCGGGTCGAGGGTTCACAGGCCGCCCCCCCACAGATGGGATGGGCCCCAGGGTTCCACAGCTCCCCCCCCCAGCAGATGGGATGGAAGGACGACGACGACGACGACGACGACGACGACGACGACGACGACGACAACGACGGCGGCACCGCAGCACCACCCCACCCCAAAGGGGAGGGGCGGAGGCACCGGCCCCCCCCCTCTACCACGCCACCCCCACATGGCCACGACCAGAGGGGGGGGAGATCCCATTCGCGAGGCCTGCGCGAGGCTCACGGACGTACCCATCCAGTGGGAAGAGGGGGCAGGGGCGATCCCATCAGCACTGGGAAGTGGTGGGTGGAGCCTGGATCATCTATATGTACGGGTGACTGTGTTTGAATACACGAAGCACAGCAGCGCAACAAGGAAACAACAAACAAAAAACGAGACACTGAAAAAAACGGTGGTGCACACACACACACACACACACACACATATCTATATATATGTGTGTGTGTACAATCAACAACTGACCCTCCCCTTCCTGTTTCCCTCCCAAATCAATCCCCCTTCCCAGAAACAACACAATCAAGAACTGGCCCTGCCTAGAGGAAGAAAAAGCGCCATAAACATAAACTTTTGGCGCTCCCCGCGGATTCCTTGAATCTGCGCTGGCAGAGCGCGCCAGGGGCGGCGCCAGAGGCGCCGCTGGGGGGGGCCTAGCGCGGATTCAGGAAACCCGCGCGGAGCGCCAAAAAAGTATGTTCATGACGCTGTTTAAATCAAGAGCTGGCCCTCCCCCGTCCCTCCCCACGTCCCCCCTGCGGTTAAGTCGGGCCTGTCCCCCTACAGGCCGATCTTGGACGAAAAATTAAAAATACCCAACAAATACCCCCAAAATACTCAAAAATACTGAAAACCAAGTCCCCAGACTATCTGTTTAACTGATTTGGCATATTCCTCCTGTAGAGGGACGGGCCCGACTTAGCCCTGCGGGCGGCAGCCTGGCCGCCGAAGAGCTTCGGGCCCGTCTCCTGCCGACGGCGCCCCCCCCGCGGCGGCTTGGCGCGGCGGCGAGGAGGCTGAGCCTCGAGAGGGCACGCGCAGGGCAGGCGCTGCAAGAGGCGGCCCTGGCCCAAGGTGCACCCAGCTGCTCCTCCGCCTCCTCCTCCGCCTCCTCCTCCGCCTCCTCCTCCTCCGCCTCCTCCTCCTCCTGATCCTCCTCCTCCTCCTCCTCCTCCTCCTCCGCCTCCTCCGCCTCCTCCTCCTCCTCCGCCTCCTCCTCCTCCTCCGCCTCCTCCTCCTCCTCCACCTCCTCCTCCTCCTCCTCCTCCTCCTCCTCCTCCTCCTCCTCCTCCTCCTCCTCCTCCTCCTCCGCCTCATCCCCCTCCTCCTCCTCCTCCTCCTCCTCCTCCTCCTCCTCCTCCTCCGCCTCCTCCTCCGCCTCCTCCCCCTCCTCCTCCCACTCCCCGTCCTCCTCCGCTTCCTCCTCCTCCTCCTCCTCCTCCTCCTCCTCCTCAGCCTCCCCCTCCCCCTCCTCCTCCGCCTCTTCCTCCTCCTACTCCTCCGCCTCCTCCTCCTCCTGCTGCCACGGGCGGCCCTGCCCCAAGGTGCACCCAGCTGCCCGCCGGTGGTGTCCAAACGTAAGAGAAAAGCAACCCAACAACAAAGTAAAAGCATAATAAGCACCCCAGGAAGCCGAGGCCGTTGCGCAAACGCACCCAGGGAAGGAATCGGACGGGGCAGGGCTGTCTGGTAAACGCCCAGGGCCACAGTGCAAACGCCATGTATGGGGGTTAGGGATGCGTTGCCTCCCTTGAGAGTAAGTGGGGTCGGAAGATCGCGCCAAATCGCCGATACATCGCCGACTCCCTCAGGACAAGTGGGGATCGAATCGAGAAACCGCATCGGATCGGCCGCGTCAAGATGCACGGCAGCGCCGTGTAAATATCGGGCCAAATCGGATCGTCGGAATGCCAGAATCGGATCGGATCGAGCCCGCCGGGATCGACATCAGATCGGAGCGATCGGACCAAAATGGGCCCTGCAATGCAGGGGGAGGAGGGACAACAGAGAAAACAGAGAAGCTTCTCGGTGGAGCTTGCATGGGCGAGTTTGACGCCTGCCCCTCCCCTGCTCCGTCCCTCCCTCCCCTGGGGAGAAGGGCCTGCTTTTTTCGTTGCCATGCCAGGAGACGCCCACAGCAAAACCCTATGCACTCGTCCCCGCACCTCCTGCGCACGGCCAGTTCTGGGGGATGCTTCCAGGCGGCGGAGGTCAGATCCCCACGCCGCCTCGATCCGCCCGCGCGCACGGCGCCTGGCGCAGGGCGAGAGCAGACCGAACTCGACAAAGCGCGCTACGGCGAGCGTCGGCGGCACCGATCGACGGCCGACGACGACCGGCGATCGTCGTCGACGTCGACCGACGACGGCCACGACGATCGTCGGCGACTGGGATCCTCGGCGATCGTCGGCGACGACGGTCGACGACCGATCGACGACAAGCGGCGGCGGTGGCCTCCGAGAGGCGGGGGCGGGCGCCTGCCTATAGGGCCTGCCTGTGAGCACCCATGGCCAGGACGCTATGCGGAGAGGCGAGGAGGCGGAGGAGAAGGCGGAGGAGGAGGAGGAGGAGGAGGAGGAGGAGGAGGAGGAGGGGAGGAGGAGGAGGAGGAGGAGGAGGAGGAGGAGGAGGAGGAGGAGGAGGCGGAGGAGGAGGAGGAGGGGAGGAGGGAGGGAGGCGGAGGAGGAGGGGAGGAGGAGGAGGAACATGAGGAGGAGGAGGAGGGGGGGGAGGGGGAGGGGAGGGGAGGGGAGGGGGAGGAGGAACATGAGGAGGAGCAGAGCAGCAGAAGCAGGAACAGCATGAGGAGGAGGAGGAGGAGGAGGAGGAGGAGGAGGAGGAGGAGGCGCGCAGGGGCGGGAGCTCCTGCGGCGGCGCCACGGGCACCTCGCTCTCCTCGACCTGTCAGGGGGAGCGGGGCGGGGGCTGGCGGACGGCTTCCTCCCTGCATCGCTGCCGGCGGGCGCGCGCGCGCGCGTGCAAGGCGTGCGCTCACTCGCTCGCTCCCAGGGGGACTCCGGAAGTAAAAATCTTGTAAGGAGAAGAAGAGCAGCAAAATGAGAAGAGCCGGAGGCAGAAAATCCGAAAAATAGTCGTTTCGCAAACATGAGTTCTTGGATCGGCGCTGGGCCCCTCTTCACGGAATGCGGAGCGCGTCGAGGGCGCCGCCGGAGGCGCCGCCAAGGGGTCCTACGCAGGTCCCCGACACATCCGCGCCGAGCTCCGAAATTGTGTTCACGCCACTTTCTCTTCTTCGAGCAGTGGACCACCCCCAATTTTCAGGGGGCACGATCGGGGCACGGGCTCAGGGGGGGAGAAATCGAACGGGAATCGGCGATGCATCGCCGAAAGATCGGCGGCTACAGGCCTCTGATGGAGAAGCCACGCGGCCGAGGCGGGCTCGGGCCCCACTCGGCAATGTTGGAACGCTTGGGCGTCGATGCATCATCCTCCACTGCACGACGAAGCCAGGACCAGGATAAGATCGGGTGAGGAGAAATCGAGAATCGCTGAGATCCGGCGGCTCTGGAGGATGCCTCGGTCGCCGCGGCCTTCTCAGAGCGTTCCAGAACGCTCTGAGAGCGTTGCGGAACGCTCTGGATCGGATTTATCCTCGTCCTAGCCCCGTCCGACATCATCCCCCACTGAGCCTGTCCCCGCTCACGCTGCCCCTAATTAGGCAACCGCACGCGAAGCCTACTGAAAACCCGCCGGAGCTCAGAATTCGAAGACTGTCTGCAGCCGCACGAACCCCACCGGGGGGGTCCTGTACCCCAACGTGGCATGGGCCTGCAACGGGTAGGGTTCACAACTGGTCTTTGGCCCCCCCTCACCGCTGGGGCACCTGCCTGACCTGACGCCGCCCCGAAGGCAACGGACCCGACGCGTTTGACCGCAACCCGACGCCGGGTATGAGCCTGACCCCGATTACGCCTGCACGCACCCAGCACATGCGAACGCGGCTGGGGCTGTCAACCGCTTCGAAGACTCAGACCGAGCGCTACTCGCTCGGCTGAGGTCCTGGCAGGCCTTAGCTCTGCCATGCAGGCATGCACGTGTCCGTCCATACGGCCAACCGTCCGCCCATGCAACAATTCAGTCATACGTCTATCCATCGATCCATCCATACATCCAGGTATCCTGGAATCAATGAACAATCACATGCATCCAGGCACCCCTAAAAACCACACATCTTTCGCTCCACAGGTCAACCCATCCATCCAATCATTCATACATCCTTCGATCCAACTTCCATCACGTCCTTCTGAGGGAGAAGAGACGATGGGAGCAGACAGCGGTCACCACACAGCAAACATCAGCAACCGTGCCATCAACACGAAGTGAAACGCAAACACGCATGCCCCTGGCTAGGGGAGCAAGACCCATGAACACAATATCCATACACGCATCTTCATGTCTCCAAGCGGCCCCCCATAAGCCTAAAGACGTCCTGACGATCGCCGAAGATGTTCCAGCACAGCCCCAAGCTGCGCCCATCTCTCCTACTTCCTCCCGTTGTTCCTGTGCCTGTTCCTGCTCCTGCCACTCCAGCTCCTGATCCTATTCCTCCTCTTCATCCTGAGGGCTGGTTGCGGGCTCTGCGGGGACGGTGCGGGGTGCTCGGGACTCTCTTGCAGCCTCTTGGAACCACCTTGGGCCGTCTTGGATTCTTCGGGAGGCGTCTTGTTTGACTTTCTTTGTTTGATTATTCTGGAGGCGTCTTGGAGCCTTCCTGCGAAAACATCGATGCGCTCGTGGAACGTTTTGGGCCGCTCGCTGCGCTCGGGCTCCTTCGGAGGCCCGCTTCGGCTCCCCCATGGTGCCCGTGGTTGTCCTGGGCCATCTTAGAACAATGTGGGGCTCCTCTCAAGGCGCTTCTGGGCGCTCCTCGGGGCGAACAAAGGGGGCGGGATAGCAGAGCGGTGGAAAGCAATTCAGCTCACGCAGTTGGTTTTCCCAGCGCTTCCCAGAGCCGAAGGCGCCCATCTATCGAGGAAAGCACACAACGGCGGCACCGAAACCAGCTGCATGCAACAGGCTTCGTACCACTACCGCCCTTTCCCAATCCCCCCACTGGCCCGTCCATAAGTCTGGCTCCGCAAGTGTTCCCTCGAGTGCAAAACGCTGCGCAAGAAAACTGAGGAGCAGGGGGGGAGGGGGAGCAGCAGCAGGGCAAGGAGGAGGGTGGGAGAGGACGACGAGGAGGCGGGCGAGGAGGGGGAGGAAAAGAAGAAGGAAGAGGAGGGCGAGGACGAGGGGGGAAGGAGGAGGAGGAGGAGGAGACTCAGACTCAGACTCGGCTTGCGGCAGCGCTGCTACTCACTGGAGAAGAAGGATGAGGGAGAGGACGGCGAGAAGGAGAAAAACGAGGAGAAGAAGAGCACGAGGAGGAGGAAGAGAAGGAGGAGGAGGCAGAAGAGAGGAGGAGGAGGAGGAGGAGGAGGAGGAGGAGGAGGAGGGGGAAGAGGTTGAGGAGGAGAAAAATCCCCCCAGCCAACCGTCCTCCAACACGGAAAGAAAACCCGTCGTCACGACAGCATCCTCATCATCATCCTCATCAGCATCCTCATCATCATCCTCATCATCATCATCATCATCATCATCATCATCATCATCATCATCATCATCATCATCATCATCATCATCATCATCATCATCGTCGTCGTCGTCGTCGTCGTCGTCGTCGTCGTCGTCGTCGTCAGCGTCATCATCATCATCATCAGCAGCATCAGCATCAGCATCAGCATCAGCATCAGCATCCTCATCATCAGCATCAGCATCAGCATCGCCATCATCATCATAACCAACCAATCATCATCAGCAGCAGCATCAGCATCATCATGAGCATCGTCACCATCATCATCATCATCATCATCATCATCATCATCAGCAGCATCACCATCATCATCATCATCATCATCATCAGCAGCATCATCATTACCATCCGCAGCAGCAGCAGCATCAGCATCAGCATAAGCATAAGCATCAGCAGCAGCCGCATCATCACGATCACCGCCACCACCACCATCACCACCACCGTCATGATCATCATCATAATCACCATAATCATCGTAATCGTCATCATCAGCATCATCATCCGCCTCGTCAGCACCATGAGCATCATCAGCATCAACATCATCAGCATTACTATTATCATCAGCAGCGGCACCATCATCAGCAGCATCATTAGCATCATCAGCATTATCAGCATCACCGTTATCCTCATCATAACCATCATCGCGTCGTCGTCATCATCATCACCATCACCAGCATCATCATCAGCATCATCGTAATCATCAGTATCATCATCAGTATTATCATCAGCATCATCACCACCATCACCATCACCGTCACCAGCATCACCATCATCGCTGTTGCCACTGCCGCCATCCAAACACGAATCGTCGCCATCGCCATCACCATGCTCAGCATCGCCAACACCAACATCGTCGTCATCCTGGTCATGTTCGTCTTCAGGCTCATCAACAGCGTGACCACCATCATCATCATCACCACCATCATCACCATTATCAGCACCACTAGCACCATCGTGGTCATCATCATAATCATCAGAATCCGAATCATCATCAGCATTATCGTCATCGTCGTCATCACTATCAGCATCAGCACATCATCATCATTAGCATCATCATCGTCATCATCATCGCAGTCAATCAATCATCATCATCCGTATCATCATAATCATCAGAATCATCAGCATCAGCCTCAGCATAAGCATCAGCATCGTCATCATCACCATCATCATCATCATCATCATCATCATCATCATCATCATCAGTATCCTAGTTCGGGGCCAAGAGGGGGCCATGAGGGTTGTCGCATGATTTGTTCGGGGGCCAAGCGGGGGCCAACAGGGGACCATCTGCAGCAGCATCATCAGCAGCATCAGTATCATCATCAGCATCAGCATCATCAACATCATCAGCATCATCAGCATCATCAGCGTCGTCATCATCAACATCAACATCATCAGCATCAGCCTCATCATCAGCATTATCCTCGTCGTCATCGTCATCGTTATCGTAGTGTTTGTCGTCGCTGCTATCCACTGTCGAAATCGTCATCATTATCTTCATCGTCGTCGTCGCTGTTAATGTCATCGTCGTCATGTTCGTCGTCCACATCGTCATCGTCGTCATCCTTTCCCGCCTCTTCCTCCCCCTCCTCCTCCCTCCTCCTCCTCCCTCCTCCTTCTCCTCCTCCTGCTCATCCTCTTTCTGCTCCTCGCCGCGGGGGCACCCGAGCCTTCGCGGTGAAGGAACTGCTGCTGGCCGGTGCCTGGCGCTCTGGCTCCTCGGGTGGGCGGGGGGGGTGAGGCAGCACGGACAAGAAACTTCAAAAAACTCAGCTGCCGACCCCAGAACCGGCAGACGTCCACTGCGAATGTGATTTCGAAGCGTCGTCCTCCTCCGCGTATTGATCCTCCTATTCCTCACTCCCCCTTTTTCTTCCTCATCATCATGATCATGATCACCACCACCATCGCCACCACGATCACAATCATCGTCATCATCATCATCATCATCATCAGCATCATCATCATCATCATCATCATCATCATCATCATCATCATCATAGTCAGCATCATCATCATGAACATCATCACCACCACCAACATTATCATCATCATCGTCATCATCAGCAGCATCATCAGCATCGTCATCAGCACAATCACCATCACCAGCATCATCATCAGCACCATCATAATCATCAGAAACATCATCATCATCATCACCATCATCATCATCATCATCCTCAGCATCATCAGCAGCATCAGCAGCAGCATCATCATAAGTTTCATCATCAGCATCATCATCATCCTCATCATCAGCATCATCAGCGTCATCATCACCAAAACCATCACCAGCACCATCATCAGCATCATCATCGTCATCAGTATCATCAGCATCATCATGATCAGCATCGTCATCACCATCATCACCATCGTCATCAGCATCATCATCCTCAGCATCGTTTCTGCCAAGAGACCTCATCACCACCTATGATCCTGAAACCTCAAACTTGGAACAGATTCTTCAACGATGGAAGGCGGCCCATGTTGAAAATGTGGCTCTCCCCGTAGAGCCCTGCACACTCCGTGTAAAACTTCGCAACAGTTTCATTGAAGGCAGTCCCTTTAGAAAGTGTGGCCCTAGCATTCGCTATAAAAGTTCGCAGCACGGTCAAGGATTCGTATGGCTGAAGTCCAACGAAGGGCTTTCAGGCACGACGTGGGATTGCAAGGCACAACAATCACGCTGGTTCGCGGTGTTGCAGTCCCAGAAACGATAATATGACACGATCGTGGGATGTCAGGACGCAGAAAAAAAAACTTTTATTCTTGGCGTTGCGATCCTAAGAATGATGTGTTGGCACGACTGGGGATTCTCAAACAAGTTGTCCTCCAATGGGTCACTTCCCGCAATGCTAATAAATTCTTGCAGGGACCTACCAAGAGGAACCTTGGAGAGAGGGTGGATTTAAAAATCGTTGATGCGCATTGAGTTTACACTGACCCGCCTTCTCAGCCTGCTCATCCTCCTCTTCCGCCGCAGCTGCAACCCCCTGCTCTTCTCATAGTCCGCCTTCGCTCCTCCCCCCCCCCTCCTCCTCATCATCCTCCTCCTCCTCCTCTTCCTCCTCCTCCTCCTCCTCCTCCGCCTCCTCCTCCTCCCTCCTCCCTCCTCCAACCTCATCCTCCTCCTCCTCGAACACATGCTCCTCCTCCTCCTCCTCCTCCTCATCCTCCTCCTCCTCCTCCTCCTCCTCCTCCTCCTCCTCCTCCTCCTCCTCCTCCTCCTCCTCCTCCTCCTCCTCCTCCTCCTCCTCCTCCTCCTCCTCCTCCTCCTCCTCCTCCTCCTCCTCCTCTCCTCCTCCTCCTCCTCCTCCTCCTCCTCCTCCTCCTCCTCCTCCTCCTCCTCCTCCTCCTCCTCCTCCTCCTCCTCCTCCTCCTCCTCCTCCTCCGCCTCCTCCGCCTCCTCCTCCTCCTCCTCCTCCTCCTCCTCCTCCTCCTCCTCCTCTTCCTCCTCCTCCTCCTCCTCCTCCTCCTCCTCCTCCTCCTCCTCCTCCTCCTCCTCCTCCTCCTCCTCCTCCTCCTCCTCTTGGTCCGCACCAGCCGCAGATCCGAGGCCGCTGGGACTGCAGTGCGGTGGGGGCGTGAGCACGCGAGCCCCCAGGAAGCATGCCCTCATCGAGGGCCCCCTCGAAGCCAGAACAGCGGCCGTACGGTCGAATACGGCCAACAAACGCTCGCCCACCTTAGCCGACGCATCAACCGTAAACGTACATATATACATACATGTAGATAGTTAGATATGCGTACGTCTACGTCTATGCAGAATTTATATTTTGTATATATATATATACATACATAACTACATATATATATATGTATATACATGCATGTCTACATACATATATACATGAAAATGAACATATGTGTATACATGTGTGTATGCGTATATGAATGCTAATAAATATATATATATGTGTGTGTATGCACAATGCATGTACGATTGCAAATAATACTACATATAATGAAGAAAGAACTGACTACATAAACAGGTACATTAATCGTCTGTATGTATACATATGTCGGTGTGTGTGTGCGCGCGAAGGACCGCAGCACAGAGGAAGGCGAGCAGCACGGAGAGAGGCGAAGCGCAGCGAGAAGGGAGAAGGGAGATGAGGGAGCCGGCAGGGGCGAAAAGTGAATCGAGAAAGAAGGGAAGGTGACTGGAACAGACCGCAGCACGGCATGCGCGAAATTCAGAACGAAGGACGGAGAAAGTAGAAGTACAGAGAAGAGAGGGGCAGGCGAGGAAGAAGTAGGGAAGGGGGGGAGGAAAAGGAGAAGGGAGGAGGAGTGCAAAAAAAGATGGAAGGTGGCATGGCTTCGTTCCGTTTGTTGCGTGTCGGTGCAGCGTGGAGCTCCCACATAGCTGGCTGGGACTATACTAACACATGTGCCAACCACTCAAGTATCCGATCCAGTGCAATCATCTCTGCCTCGATCACCGTCACATCCACTGGAACGTCACGTGCCAGGGCTGATAAAGAGTCGCCCCATTCGAGCTCCTCGAAAATACAAATGATGACCGAAGCTGCAGCGCAAGTTTCCGACTTCCGCCCTCCGTCCCTCTGGATGACGATGTTGGTGTAATTCGGTTCCAGTGTCGTGGCGTACCGCGTGCTCCAAGAACAAACTCTGTCCGTAATCCAGCCGACGAGGCCATCTGCAACCTTGTTGTGTGTGTGTTTGCACTTCTACTAGGATCGAATGCCTTCTTTCTTGCACGGAGCGGGAGGGAGAGGGGGGAGGAAAGGGGTAGGGGAAGCGACGGGGAGGGGTAGCAGGAAGCGGGGGATGGCTACAGTCGAGGTACTACCAGAAGGAACGCCAAGTAAGGTACAAAGGGGCTGTTCTAGGCCACAAGCAAATCCCGCGACATAAATCTAAGAAACGACCCAAATCCCCGAGCCCCTTCCGAACCCAAAGCGGTCCTTATTTCAGCGTCTTGGCTGTAGGGGGGCAACCTAGGTGCACTCACGCCGCATCTGATATCCTATCCTCCCTCCTCTGTCCGCCGACGCGTGTCAAAGCCGACCTGGAACCCCAACACAAAGACCGCATCGTGTTGAAGGCAATCGGAAGGGGGAGCTGCGCACAGAGGAGGAGGAGGAGATGGCGGGTGAGCAGGAGGAGAAGCATGAGTAAAAGCAGCATGTCGACGGAGGTAAGCAAGGGCCAACAGCAGCAGCAGGAACTGCAGCGGAAGGAGCGGGCAGTGCAGGAGGCCCAGGGGAAGGCGGCGGAGGGGAATTTGAGAGGGGCGACGACGATGACGAAGGGCTCGAATCTGGACAAGTGGCCCACGCTCGGGCAAGAGCGCCATTCTGAGCGACTGGAGCAATGCGCCGACCCGAAAATGATGAGGCCCACGCTGCAGCGGGGGCACCTTTTCGGAAACGCCGAAAGCAATCTGATTGTAACAAACGCAAGGATAACAGACAATGTCCAATTCTGCGTGATAAATGATACCGGAGAAAAACCCAATCAGATTTTTGCTGGGTCAATGGGGCTATATGGGCTATATGGCTATAGGGGTATAGTAATATAGGGCTATTGGGCTATTGGGGCTATAGGGCTATAGAGCTATAGGGTTATAGGGCTGTAGGGTTCTAGAGCTATAGGGCTCTAGGGCTCTAGGGCTATAAGGCCATAGTGCTATACGGCTGTAGGGCTATAGGGCTATAGGGCTACAGGGCTACTGGGCTATTGGGCACCCCCGGGCACCCCCGGGCACCCGGGCACCCGGGCATCCGGGCCCAGCCACCGAAATCGACCACGCACCTCACCGACCACCCGGGCACCCGGGTACCGCCGGGCACCCGGGCACCCGGGCACCCGGGCACCCGGGCCCGGCCACCGAAATCGGCGACAAACCTCACCTAACCCTTTCATCCGCTAGGACCCCTACAGAGGCAAGCTCTGATTGGGGAACAATACACGGAGAGAAACGGCTCTCCCAGCCGAAGTCAGAGGAGAGAAGTGAAGAGCACTCAGAATGTGCAACTGTTCAAGGAAAGGGGGCGAGGGGGAGGGTGAAGAAGAGAAATGAAGGCAGAAACGGCCTGGTAGTCTTTCGGCGGCGCAAAATCCACGTTCACGTCCGCCTCGATGATGGAGATGGCATTCGTGGGCTTGCACTGCGGCAGAGGACCGAGCAGTGCCGAAGAGTCAGACAGTGGCAGGGGTCTCACAGTCGTCCTCATCAACACCGCCACCATCCTCATCCTCATTCTCGTCTCCGTCGCCTGTCATCATCATCATCATCATCATCATCATCATCATCATCAACAACAACAACAACAACAACAACAACAACAACAACAACAACAACAACAACAACAACAACAACAACAACAACATCATCATCATCATCATCATCAGCATCATCAGCATCATCATCATCATCATCATCATCATCAAACGGAACGAAAATAGATGATTCCCGCGCCGCTGCTCGGGTGGCATCCCGATTGGAATTGGAAAACTAATAAGAATAAGAGTGAAATACGAGTAATGAGAATGATAATGATAATAATAATAATAATAATAATAATAATAATAATAAGAGTCAGGATAATAGAGGCGAGGCGCTTGTTTCAGAACCACATGGACACCATATTGCGAGAATGTCTCAGGCGGTTTGATTGTTTCAGCGAGCAGACTCGCCTGCGTTCACATAAAGGTGCGAGGTGCGAGGGTAACGCTTCTGGGGTGCCGGGTGAGTTATACTTTCGCTGGAGAGGGGGGAAAAGTTCTTCATTGCTTCATGAGGTTGAGCATAAAAATCAAAGGTTCGCGCGGATTTCTCGGATCCGAGAAATCCGCGAGGGCCTCCGAGTTTGTATGTTTATGTCATTCTTCGTTCCCCTAGGGGCGGATGCAGACTGAAGAGGAACAGGCGAGCAAGCAGCGGCGTGCGAAAGGGCCAGCAGTGGCAGCTGGCTCGAGAGCGTGATGAGGCTTACAGAGTGCGAGAGGGGCCTGCAGCGGCAGCAGGCTCGCGGGCCTCGGCACGAGAAGGCGGCGCTTGATCCCAACGCCACCGAGCACGCAGGTTGGGCTGGGCTTCCGCGGCCGAGCAGCGGCAGCGTCCTCGGCCGAGCCCAGCGACACCGGCGACGAAGGTGGTGAAGGCGAGCCCGCATGTGAATCGGGAGCGCGCAAACATGGATTAGCGATGCTTGGATTTGGCGCGCGGTCGCCAACTCCATTGATCGGGGGAGGCGCCCGCCCCAAAATGCGGCCGGTGCCGCCTCATTCGGCGGCGGGAGTCCGCGACTTCCCATGGAAACGGGACCGTCGCTAATCCACGCCCCCTTGATCCATGTTTGCGATCACCTGAGTGAAGGTGCGGGCAGCGAAGGCGAGCCCATCCTGTGCAGGGCGGTTGGCCCGTTGGCCTGAGCGCGGCTACGGCAGGTTCGCGTCGTGTCGACCCCCGAGTCGATCCCTGACACCGCGGGGATCGTTCAAACTTGAACGATCGGACGTTCCGTGGAGGCCGGATCGTTCAACGACGGGCCGATTCTTACCAGCTTGGAACATATCCCTATCCCTATGCTGGGCATCCCCTCATCACGATGCCAATCTTAGGGATTCCCTTATTCTTTGAGGGCGCATCCCTAAGATTGTCATCGCCTTTTGGCGTGTCAACCTTAGGGATAGGGATAAGTTCGAGGCTGGTAAGATTCTGGGTCACGGGCGGCGTTCAACCTTGAACGCACGCGGTAGGGCCGCCGCCTGTCGGCACGACGCGGACCTGCCGTGCGTGGAGTGCTCGCGCACGGGTCGCGCGGAAGGGGCTGGGCGTGACCAGGTGGGCGCCTCCGTCGCGTCGCAAAAACGCGGGGGGCGAAGTTGCAGCCAGCCGCGAGAAGGCGAAGGGCGAAGCCACGACGCACCCGAGACAAGGCCCGAGGAGGGCGTTCGCGAGGAAGGCCGGAAGGCACGAGAGCCGGGTGAGACAAGAGAACTGCTGCATTCATGATCGGGCTGAGGTCGTACGGGAGTGGACCAGCCTGTCGACGACGCAGAGTGAAGGTCAGCGCTCCGCCCGCGTGTCGCACACATCACGGGGGGCCCGCGTGGAGAGCGGGCACATCCGAGGAATCGGCCAGAGGGCGGCACGCAGGACTGCGAGCCCGGCCTGGCTCGCGCCCCCGTGCAGCACTCGCAGCTCGCGAGCGCCGAAGTCCCATCGGCCCTCTGGGCTTGGGTGGCTCGGCGGCCTCCTCTTCTCACTCACTTCTTCCCTGACATCCGGCTGCTCCCATTTCTCGATGCGCGGGCCCTGGAGGTCTGGACCACTTCCCCAGTGATGGGGCTGTTTTCCACCACCACCAACACCATAAGTTGGAGGGGAAGGAGGAGGAGAAGGAGGAGGAGGAGGCGGACGAAGAGGAGGAGGAGGAGGTGGAGGAGGAGGAGGAAGAGGAGGAGGAGGACCCCCTCCCACTCCAACTTATGGTGGTGATGGTGGAAAACAAGCCCATCACCTAGGGCCGGTTATCCGTCCCAAGTCGTTCCTGTTGACGGTCCCGAGGCCCGACGAGGGACCCCGAAGGCCGACAACGGCGCAAAGCTTGCCGCGCTCCGATTTTTCCGAGGCGCCGGATCTCTGGGTTCCACCTTGGGGGATCTGTTCCCCCCCCCTCCCCTACCCCTACCCTTAGGTCGGACATGTCCTCCTACAGGCGGTTCTTGGAGGAAAAATTCGAAATAGCGGAAAATCATCATCAAAGTGGCAAAAATAATAGGAAAAATCGTCCCCAGACTATGTTTTGACCAATTGGGGAAATTCCTCCTGTTCGAGGGACACGCCCGACTGAACCCTACCCCACGTCGCAGCCCTTCCCCACTTGCCTGTGGGCCCGCCGTGGCCACAGCAGTCTGGCACGCAGTGGCCGCCCCTGGCCCACCGCGGAGAGGACAGGGAGGGCGAGAGGCCGGCAAAAGTCCGCGATGGGCGGAGCCTCGGATCTGAGGCTCTGGGGGGGGGGAGACCTCTGGGGGCCAGTTTGGAGATCTTCTGGTGAGGAGGCATCTCCTGGGAGGTCTTCGTCGGAAGGGCCAAGGAGGATGAAGCCCCATCGGGGGGCTGTTACGCCGGAGTGGTTCTCGGATCAAGCGGGGCCAGGCGGGATGAAACGGGATTGAGCGGACTAAGCGGATCTGAGGCTTTGGGTGGGGAGACCTCTTTCTAGGCCTCCTAGATGGGGTCCGAGCAGATGGGGTTGGAAGATCGCGCCGCATCGCCGATGCGTCGACGATGCGGCCCGATGTGGAGCCCGCGTTTCCCCACGCCGACGTCGCCGATGCATCGCCGATGCCTCCCCGATACATCGGCGATGCATCGGCGATGCGGCGCGATCCTCCGACCCCATCGACTCGGGCCCCATCTAGGAGGCCTCTACTCTTGAGACCAGCTTGGCGCTCTTGTGGGGTGCTCTTGGGGCCATGCTGGGGCTCCGCTTGGGCCCCTGCTCTCTCGGGGCTATGTTTGGGTTCCCGTCTCGTGGCCAGCGCGGCGCCAGGTACGGACCGGGTTGCACCCGCACGGAGCCGCGATCGAATCAGATCAGCTGCACCAGGATGCACGAGTACCATGAAAATATCGGCCGCATCGGACCGCCAGAGCATCGGAGTCGACTCGGATCGAGCCGGCTGGAATCGACATCGAATCGGATCGATCGGAATCGAAATGAATCCTGGAGCTCGGAGGCGGCTGCGGGGTCTGAACTGGACGGGCCCCGAACAGAACGGTCAGGAAGGCTGGATAAGTACAAGTCCGCTCATAATAGGTCCCCCTGGACCCCTCCGGGTGTCCACCTTGATGGGCCTGTTTTCCACCTCCACCACCATAAGTTGGAGGGGGAGGGGGTCCTCCTCCTCCTCCTCCTCCTCCTCCTCCTCCTCCTCCTCCTCATCATCATCATCATCATCATCATCATCATCATCATCATCATCATCATCATCAGCAGCAGCAGCAGCATCATCATCATCATCATCATCATCCTCATCATCATCCTCATCATCCCTCGTCATCATCAGCATCTTCATCATCATCAGCATCACCAGTATCATCATCAGCATCATCATCATAATCAGCATCAGCATCATCATCATCACCATCAACAACAACAGCATCATCATCATCATCAGCAGCAGCAGCATCATCGTCATCATCATCATCATCGTCATCATCATCGTCATCATCATCATCATCATCGTCATCAGCATCATCATCATCATCATCATCATCATCATCATCATCATCATCATCATCATCATCATCATCATCATCATCATCATCATCATCATCATCATCATCATCATCCTTATCCTTCTCTTCCTCGTCCGCCTCCTCCTCGTCCTCCTCCTTCCCCCCACCCAACTTATGGTGGTGGTGGAAAACAAGCCCATCACACCTGGCACAGCTTTTCACACTGGATCCGAAAACGACCCCCCCAGTGGCCCGAAAAATACAGAAAGCTTTCCCGAAAACAAAACATCGACCCTCTGCCCCCCCCTTCTTGCTCGCTGGAAACACTGCTGGGCCACATCATACCCCCAGCTGGCTCCAACCTGGAACCGGGAGATGAAGCCAGGACGAGGATAAAATCAGGTAAGGAAAATCGAGAATCTCCGACATCCCGCGGCTCTGGAGCATGTCTCGGGCGCCGCGGCCCTCTCAGCGCGTTCCAGAACGCCCTGAGAGCATTCCGGAACGCTCTGGAACTGATTTATCCTCGTCCTAGCCCCGTCCGACCCTGTCGGCGGCGAGCCCAGGGGGAAGTGAGAAAGGGCGGGCCTTTTCAGAAGGCACGGAAAGCCCCTGGCCGTCTAAAGAGTTTTCAGGGCCTTCCCCATGAGTCACAGGAGACTTCTCCGAAGGCCCGCGGGCTTCTGAGAAGCCCCGCCGCCTGCGGATGGGACCTTTTCCTTCTCACTCTCCCCCCTAGCTCGCCGCCGACCTTCCCTGAGACCCGACGTTGCAACAAAATTGCAACATCAAAAACAAAAATCGCCACTGGACCCCCAGACGCCGTCTTTCTCTATCATCTTCAGAGCCAGATCGATCTGTGGGGGTCCCAAGGCCCGACATTGAGCGAAAACGCCCGGCTCGAAAAAACTGAGTCGCCAGGATCTCAGGGTTTGCGGTCGCCGCAATATTTTGTCCCCCCCTCCATCGCCGCTGCCCCGTCCGAAGCCGTGACTGCGGGGACGAGTCGTCGACGTCGGCGGCCGTCGGCGGCCATCGTGCGGCCATCGGCGGCCATCGTGCGGTCATCGTGCGCGCCTCCCTTGAGCAGGGACCGACCGTCCCGGCATTCATGTAGTCCTACCAAGAGATGTTCTTAGAACCCAAACATGTTCTAATAACAAAAACAATGCTCTTAGAACATCAACCCGATGTGATAAAAGGAGACAGACTCCGCCAGAAATCTTCTGAGAACACTTCGTGGAGACCACAAATGGTTCTTAGAACATTATTTGGTATGGCTATGGGCGAGCCAGGACGCTTCGCCACTGCTGGACTCCCTGAGTCGAGGCCGCGCGGGACGGCCCGGCGCCCCGCCTCCACGACCTCGATCTCGTAGGTTTTCTGGTTGTAATTAATGACCTGCCCAAGCGCGAGGGCACCACCCCCCCCCCCTCTCTCTCTCTCTCTCCATCTGCGGCGCGCAGGCGCGCCCCACAATCGGCTGCCCATTTGCTCTCATCCTCTCCTCCTCCGCTGTCCCCTCCCTCCTCCCTCATCCTCCTCCCCCTTTTCCATCTTGTCCTCCCTCCTCCACAGGCATACAGACATACATACATACATACATACATACATACATACATACATACATACATACATACATACATACATACATCATACATCACATACATACATACATACATACATACATACATACATACATACATACATACATACATACATACATACATACATACATACATACATACATACATACATGGTGCAAGTCCCCTGGGAGTATCCCCGCGTCTCCCTTTATCTGTGAACATAACGATTTGGAGGGGGAGCCAAGGGGGCTGGGGGGAGAAATTACCTGCGAAGCGTATCGACATCTTACCGCAGTTTGAGCGCTGGCCTAAGCAGTGCACAGCATGATGGCAGAAAATATCGAAAGTTCAAACACGCGCGAGCCCAAGTGGTAACGTAGTGCTGTGGCTACGACCTCTCCTGACTTGTTCCTGTAGTCCCCTGGCTCCCATCCCTCCATTCCCCTCTCCCTTCCCAATCCCTTCACTCCCCAACTCCTTTCCCCTCCCCTCCCCTCCCATCTCGGCTCCCTGTTCCTCCAAATCCGCCGACCCTGTCGGCGTGTGTGAGGGGCTTGGCTGTTGGAGTCGTCGTCACCGTCAGTCGTCGTCTCCATCATCCCCTTTCCCTGCACCCCTCCTCCTCAAGCTTGTCAGCGAGAGGAAAATCTAGCAATGTCGTTTCATCGAATCAAAGGCAAGCCCCTTCCGTTTGATCACTTCCCCGCTCCAGGGGGGGGGGGTCCGGGGGGGGTCGCCACCCAGATACGTTTTTACCCCCTGGGAGCCCTGCGGCCTCAGAACATACCAAGACAGGCCAAGAGTAACCCAAGAGGCCGCCGAGACGGTCCAAGAGGGTCCCCAATCGCCAAACGATCGGTCCAAAACGCCTTCACGCCCTCCAGACTGCCCCAGAGGCCTGCAGGACGCTCCAAGACGCTTCCAAAAGCACTCCCGAGAGGGACCACAAGAGGCCAAACTCATTGATTTGTTATTTGGTTTTTGGAAAATTGTTGGGCGTTCTCGCCTTTTCCACTTCCCGCCGCTCCACAACGGCGCCAGAGGCCCCCAAGATCTCCCCCAGACGGCCCAACTCCAAGAGGGCCCCAAAACAGCCCCAGAGGACCCCAAGACAGCCCAAAACGCCTCCAAGGCGGCCGCAGATGCCCCCAAGACGGTTCCAAGAGCGTGCCCTAGCGGGGGACCCGAAAGGACATTTGGAGCCTTCGGCGCCAAGAGGCTCCCAGGAGTTCCCAAGAGGTTCCCCAGAGGCCCCAAGAGGCCCACAAGAGGTCCCCAGGAAGCCCGAAGAAGCCCCCAAGAGGCTCCCAAGAGGCCCCTCAGAGGCTCCCATGAGCCCCACAAATTCCTCCCCAGAGGCCCCCGAGAGACTTCCGAGACCCTAAGAACCTCCCTGAGGACTCTGGCCCACGTCCGCGTCGTCGTTGCCGCCGCCGCCGCCGCCGCCGTCAGCGTCGTCGTTGTCGTCGTCGTCGTCGTCGTCGTCGTCTCCCTCGTCGTCGTCGTCGTCGTCGTCTCCCTCGTCGTCGTCGTCGTCGTCTCCCTCGTCGTCGTCGTCGTCGTCGTCGTCGTCGTCGTCGTCGTGGTCGTCGTCGTCGTCTCCCTTCAGGGTCGGCGGCACCGGCCGTAAGGCCTTCGCAATAGTCCCCGAGCCCATCCCCTCGCCTCCCCACTCCCCACTCCTCATCCTCATCCACGCCCCTATCCCTCCCCTCCCTCTCTCACTCTCTCACTCTCTCTCTCTCTCTCTCTCTCTGTCTCTCTTTCTACCACCCCTCTTCCTCCCGACTTCCCTCCAATCCCGTGTATATTCTGGCCACATGCTTGAAGCCACAGCACTTTGCAAGAACGAGTGAAGTACTGAATGCATGTTTTCAACGCGAAGCGTTCCTGCTTCAATCCGTCCAGCGAGGACGCGTTCGAGGTAACCCGAGACCCTGAGTGGCCCCGAGGGGGGAGAATAGTGAGCGCATGGCTTGGGGGACGGGGGGGAAGGGCGAGCGGAGAGGAGAAAGGAGGGGCGCAAAGGGAATGGGAATGGGACTGGGAGAAAGAAAGGGAGAGAGGAAGGGAAGGGGGAGAGAGAGGAACAGGAAGAAGGGCACAGGGGAGATGGTGTAGGAGATGAGGAGCAGGGCCGACGATGCTGTCGCCCACGGTGAGCGTGGCGAAGTTGCGCAAGGAGTTCTCGAGCACCGCGCGCGGGTTGTGAATGTCGAGGAAATCCTCGGAGGGCGCAGCGGCAGTGCTCTCGGGCGTGTGCGGATGACGGGTACGCTTTTTCGCCTCGCCGACGGCCCCCTCGTTTTCGTCATTCCCCCTCCTCCCCCTGCTACCACTCGCACTGTGAAGGTGTCCATTCCATTCCTCCCCCTCCTCACCCCTGTCCGCATCGCCACCACCACCGTCATGACCGTCATCGTCATAACCAGAATCATTATCATAATCGTTATCAGCATCAGCATCACTCATCATCAACACAATCATCAGCAGCACCATCAGCATCATCATCATCAGCAGCATCATCAACAACATCAGCATCATCATCAGAATCATCATCAGAAGCAGCAGCATGAGCATGAGCATCAACATCATCATCAGCAGCAGCAGCAGCATCATCATCATCGTCGTCAGCATCAGCATCAGCATCATCAGCATCATCATCAGCATTAGCATCAGCATCATCATCCAGGGAACCATAATCACTCTCCTCTTCGTCAAGTTCCTCCCCGTAGCTCCATACACCTCCTCCTCCTCCTCAACACGCCACCTCTATCAGCAGCAACACCCGCATCACCACCATCAGCATCACCATCATCGTTGAGATCATCCTCCTCCTCATGATCGGTGTCTTCATCATCAGCCCCGAAGCTACCGTCATACGTGTTACAGACGTCAATAACCGCATCATCATCGTCACTTGTCACCATCACCGTCCCGTTACCCTCATATCCATCCACATGACCATCCTCTACCCCGCCATCCTCCTCTTCCTCCTCCTCATCATCATCACCCGAATCAGTACAATCGTTCGCCACATCCTCATCAGCATCATTGCCAACCTCATCATCATCATCATCATCATCATCATCATCATCATCATCATCATCATCATCATCATCATCATCATCATCATCATCAGCATCATCATCATCATCCTTATCCTTCTCTTCCTCGCCCGCCTCCTCCTCGTCCTCCTCATCCTTTCCCCCACCCAACTTCGTCATCGTCAGCATCATCAGCATCATCAGCATCATCAGCATCATCAGCATCAGCATCACCATCAGCAGCATCGACATCAGCATCAGCATGATCATCATCATCATCAGCAGCAGCAGCATCACCATCGTCATCAGCATCAGCATCAGCCTCGTCATCAGCATCAGCATCAGCATTAGCATCATTGTCATCGCCATCCTCACAAGCATTATTATCATCATCAGCATCCGCATCGACATCATCAGCACCATCATTATCAGCAGCAGCATCATCACCATCAGCATCATGGTCATCAGCATCATCATCATCATCATCATCATCAGCATCAGCATCATCATCATCAGCAGCATCATCATCATCATCATCACAATCAGCATCAGCATCATCAGCATCATCATCAGCATCATCATCGTCATCAGCATCAGCATCATCATCGTCATCATCAGCATCAGCATCATCATCACGACAATCATCATCAGCATCAGCAGCAGCATCATCAGCACCATCATCATCATCATCATCATCGTCGCCGCCACCGTCGTCGTCGTCCTCATCATGAACATCATCATCATGAGCAGCATCAGCATCAGCATCAGCATCACCGTCAGCAACGGCTTCCTCATCATCAGCATCAGCAACATCATCATCAGCATCATCATCATCATCGTCATCATCATCGTCATCATCAGCATCAGCATCAGCATCAGCATCATCATCGCAACCATCATCATCAGCATCATCGTCAGCATCGTTTTCGTCGCCGCCGTCGTCGTCGTTCTAATCATGAATATCATCATCATGAGCAGCATCAGCATCAGCATCAGCATCAGCATCAGCATCATCACCAGCAACAGCTTCATCATCGTCAGCATCAACATCATCATCAGCATCATCATAAGCATCAGCATCGTCATTGTCATCGTCGTCATCATCAACATCATCATCATCATGATCATCCCCTCTCGTCCCTCTCCCCCTGCCCATCCCCAGCCCCTCGTCACCTTTCTCCTCTTCCACATGAAAGTTGCGAAAGCACGCCGAGAATGTCTTCGGATGTGGGAATTGTTCCCGTGTTCGGACGCGTCTGACTAGCAAGCGAGATTGTCGCTGTCTCGACCCCCCAACATCACTCTCGTCATCATTATCGTTTGCGGGGCTGCGGTCTAGTGTCTTGGGATATAGTGTCCCTGGCGAAACTGCCGAAAAAAAATAAGGTTGCAGCGTCGTCGCCACCAAAAAAAACAATCCTTGCTTGCAGGTTGAGCGAACGAGAAGATCAATGATATGGAAGACGCGCGTTAACGCCACCGTGCGCTGGTCCACAAAAACTCTTCGGTGCGTGGGCACAGGCGCGCTGAAGAATGCCAAGGGCTCGGATGTCACTGGCGGAGGCGAACGAGGTAAAACCTCAGTAGATCATCGCATGATCCATGGGCCATCAACTTGCCCCACACGGAAGGCGACCGCTTCTTGCGCCGCTGCATGGAAACTGTGCTCGAACAGCCGCAATCACCTTGGACCGCAAGGCGAAAAAGTGATTTACTGCCCACTAACTGGGAGCCCCCCAGGACAGGGAGCACCTGTCGAGCAAGGGATTGACTACAAACGTCACTTACCCCAGAATTCCTTCTCCTCGGGGAAATACTTAGACTTCCCTATAGATTTTCGACAATGGTACGCGTTCGTCGTACATTCGATGGCGAAAACCAGTTTGGGGATCCATCAACTCTGTAGTCGAGTCCCTACTCGAACCTGCCTTGCGAAAGGGGGCGTCCACGGCACTGGCAGCGCCTCGCATTCTCTGTCGCTCGAGTGGCAACGGCATTGGCCACGCCCGATCCGCGGCCGGTCCTGGCGATCGTCACAGGCGGCCTGCGCCGATGTCGTCCCCTGTTGAAGCCAGTTTGACGCAGGTCGGGCATGTCCTCCTACAGTCGGATTTGGGAAAAACGAGCACAAAGAATTGTTGCAAAAAACAAACAAACTGTCACAGGAGTATGAACAAAAATCGTCCCCAGACTATTGTTTTACGATTCTTGAACATTCCTCCTGTAGAGGTTCATGCCAGACTTAACATTTGCCATCCTCGCCCTCGCCCGCTGTTCCCCCTCATCTAGTTGGCGCTCCACGCAAGGGAGGGGGGGGGCATCCACGCCACGGACGGAAAGGCGGGGGAGGAGGGTAAGAAACATCAGCCGAAGTGAGCAGGAGATGCGGGGTGAGGGGAAGGTTCGCGAAGGGCATTTTCAGGTGGGCGGCCGGTTCGGCGGCCCGGCATGGAAGAAGCCGCCCCTGCGGGCGCCGGGTCGGCGAGCAGGCTGCGGACTTGCTGATCGGCTACCCCCGCAGGTGCCGTCGTCGAGGCCTTCGCGCCCAAAGGCGCTGCTGCAGGCGCAATATGCGTAGCCAGACAAGACGCTGCCGCAGGTGCCGCGCCAGTGAGCGTTCGCTCAGGTGCTCCTCGTGGGTCGCGCTGCCTTCGCCGCAGGCGTCGTCCCAGCAGGCGGTGACCTCACCATTGCTGTAGTCCGCGTTCACGAATAGACGAACGCGCTCCACGACTCGCAAAGTAACTACTCGCAAATGGCCTGGGTCCGCCGCGGGAGATCGACGATAAATTTACATCGAAGCAGACATATGTGTTTCTCGGACGTTCGCGAGTAGGCACTTTGCGAGTTAAGGAACGCGCTCGGTGATCGAAAGCGCCGTGGCCCGTCCCGCAGGCAGCGTGGCCTCTTCCGTCGGCGCCGGTTGTCTCTGCCATACATGTCGCTGTCCTTCACGCAGGTGCCGGTGCCTTTGCCGTCGCCGTGGGTGGCGTTCCCGTAGGATGAGGTCGGGCCTGTCCCCCTACAGGGGGATCCTGCACGAAGGATGAAAAATTCTCAACAAAATACTTCCAAAATGCTCAAAAATTGTCAAAAAATGGTGCCCAGACTATGTTTTTACTATTTCCGAAGATTCCTCCTGTAGAGGGACACGCCCGACTTACACGCAGGTGCCGGTGCCTTTGCCGTCGCCGTGGGCGGCGTTCCCGCAGGAGCCCCTGCCGCAGGCGCTCCCCTTGGCGCCGTGCGCGGAGGGGTTCCGTGTGGGCGCTGCCGCAAGCGTTCGGGTGAGCGCTCCTTCGCAGGCGCCGCAGCCGCTCCCGCGGCTGCTCCCGTAGGCGTCATTCCCGTCGGCGGCCAGGCGCGCCCAAAAAGGCGTCTGTAATCTTCTGACCCGGGTCGATCCAGACCCGGGTCAGCAGGGAACCAAAAAACTGCAGTGCAGGAAAAAAAAACTGCAACGCAGGTCTTCGCAAACGCGGGTCGGCCAATGAGCGCGGCCGCCCCGCGGCCACGAGCGGCTCGCTAACCCGGGTCAGCCAGAAGCGGGTCTTCGCAGGATCCTGCAGGATCCTGCAGGATCCGGTGCCCTGGCTGACCCCCGTCAGCATTGAGCCCGTCTCTGAGGCCAGTGATTTGGCCCGGCGCGAGGACTGCCGCATCGTCGCCGAGGGCGTGGGCCTCCCTGACATGGATGCCGCGGGCGGCGCGGGGCTTCTCGAAGAACCCGGGTGCTCGAGCCTGCGACATGCCACGCGTGAGCGATGACGATATCGAGCCGCTGCTGAAGGTCGCGCGCCCATTGGGCTGCAAGGCGATTGCTGCGCCGCGCGGCCTGCGCTGCCTGCGCAGCCCCTTCGCGGCGTGCCCGATGACATCGCAGACTGCCCATGGCCTGCGGAAGGGGACGGAGGGGCGCTGCCCCATGCGCTGGGGCGCGGCCCTGAAGGGCGTGCCGGAGTTGAAACCACCAGATAAAATGGTTCGAACAAGAATGATGAGAGTTCAATCCTCCAATTCTTTCAACCAAACTGAAGAAAAATCCGGAAAAAAACGAAAAAGAATGCCCATTGTTCCTCGAATATCGTGCTAAATCACGAGCTCGCCTCCTCACCTGCGGGGCCCGCTCAAAGGCTCGGCCGCGCGCGAGATGCACGAGGTGCTAAAGGTCTCGGCCGAGGGCCTCAAGCAAATTGCGGCCATTCCTTCTGGCGAGTCGGCCACTGGACCTGGTAGACTGAGTAAGAACTACGTCTTCGCTCCATCTCGGAGATGGATCGAAGACATAGGGGGGTGTACTAGGGGGTTGCACTGGCAGCACAACAAAAAGCCAACAAAACAAGCGGCGCCTGCCCGCGCGAAAACAGAACACCCAACAAAACGTGCGGCACCTGCCTGTGCCAGAACAGAACGACCAACAAAACGGCAGCCCAGTGGCCGAAACGCATGGGCGCGACGGCCGGCGTTCAGAGCATGCGAAAACGTGTTTTGAAACGCGTTCGCAACATTAAACAGAAGTAAAACGGAAACAAATGGGAAAAAGTAGGAAAACAATGTTTAGGCTGCGCCCTGCCATCTCCTCTTCACTCGTCCGTGTTGTCGGCCTGCTGGTCAATGGTCGTGCAATTCCGACTTCTCATCATCATTGTCGTCGTCAGTTTCGTCCCTCCTCCTTTCCTGCCTCCTCCCCCTCCTCCTCCTCCTCCTCCTCCTCCTCCTCCTCCTCCTCCTCCTCCTCCTCCCCCTGTTCTTCCTCCACCTCCACCTCCACCTCCACCTCCTGCTCCTCCTCCTCCTCTTTCTCCTTCTCCTCCTCCTCCTCCGCCTCCTCCTCCTCCGCCTCCTCCTCCTCCTCCTGCTCCTGTTCCTGTCTGTTCCTCGTGCCGCATGCCTCCTGGCCCTCCTCCTCCTCGCCCTCCTCGTTTTTCCCCTCCTCATCCTCCTCCTCCTTCTCCTCCTCTCTTTCTCCTCCTCCTCTTCCTCCTCCTCCTCCGCCTCCTCTTCCACCTCATACCCCCAAGACGGTCCCAGGAGGTCAAGCATGGCTGCATATAGCCTCTGACAGACCTCCAAAAGGCCTCAAGACAGCCACAAGATGGTCCAAGATAGCTGAACATCTCTAAGGATAGCCTCCGACAGACTCTGGCCGAACATGGCTCAAGATAGCCTCCAAGAGGCCTCCAGAAAACCTCCGATCGTGTCTGCATGGGCTGGTAGGAATAAGCGAAGTGTCAAGAATTTGGAAATCTCATCGGATCGGACCTCGAGCAGCCCTGCCCTGTCCCTTCCTCCCCGAGGGTCCGACTTCACCGGCTGCAGCTTCACAAAGGTGCCCTTCTGCAGCGTGGTGTTTGTGACGCGGATGAGATCGCCCTCTTTCAGCAGTAGATTCTGCCTCCACCCCACCGTCCACTGCCCGCCGCCTCAACCCTCTGGGGCAGGAGGGGGGAGGGGGTAGAAGGGGAGAGGCGGGAGGAGGAAAGGGCAAGGCACGACCTGGGCAGAGGCTGTCACCTCCGCTGGCTCACCGCTCTGACTGGAGAGGCGTATGAACTGACAAAAAATCAGGGTAACCTCAAAGCATACGGTGGGCAAGACTGCGGGACCAATAGCCCCACAGGGCGGACGGAAGGATGGAAAGGGAGGAAGGAGGGCAGGGAGAAGTGGGAAGGGACGAGGAAGGAGGACTCGAGCGGGGCCAACACAAACATATGCCTCCCAATGACGTATGCATATGTGTCAATGTATGTGTACGTGTACGTGTACGCGTACGTGTACATGTACGTGTACGTGTACGTGTACGTGTACGTGTACGTGTACGTGTACGTGTACGTGTACGTGTACGTCAACGTGTACGCGTACGCGTACGCGTACGCGTACGCGTAAACGTACGCGTAGGTGTACGTATGTGTACATGTACGTCTACGTGTACGTCTACGTGTACATGTAAGTGTACGTGTACGTGTGTATGTGGATGGGAATATGTGTGTATGTGTGTATGTGTATGTGCATGTAGATGTGTACGTGCACGTGTAAATGTACGTGTATGTTTATGTGTCGGAGGTTGGGGGGTGAGTCCGACGTGAAACGGAGAACCCCTCCCCTCCTACTGGGAAATCAATTTCGGTTTCGGGTTCGTGTCGTGCGTGCCGTGCGCACGTGCGGGCGAGGCGAAGCTGCGTGGGCGGGCGAGAGGAAATTCTCCTGTGGTTGGGCCGCGGACAGACCAAATGAAACTCCTCCGGCGGCCAGTGCCGCGCGGTGTCCCGCCGGTGTCCCGCTGGTGTCCCGAAATCCTCCTGTGGCTGGGCCGCGGCCGGACCAAATGTAACTCCTCCGGCGGCCGGTGCCGCGCGGTGTCCTGCCGGTGTCCCGCTGGTGTCCCGAAATCCTCCTGTGGCTGGGCCGCGGCCGGACCAAATGTTTCTCCTCCGGCAGCTGGTGGCGCGCGGTGTCCCGCTGGTGTCCCGCTGGTGTCCCGTGGTGTCCCGTGGTGTCCCGTGGTGTCCCGTTGAGTGAGATCGATAGTGAGATCGATAATGAGATCGATACTGAGATCGATGTGGTGCCCCGTGGTGTCCCGTGGTGTCCCGTTGAATGAGATCGATAGTGAGATCGACACTGAGATCGACATGTGTCCCGTGGTGTCCCGTGGT